ATTGTTGCAAAAACACAACATCATCGCCCTCCTCATTACCTGCAAAAAGTGGCAAACAACTTGGTTGGTATCCATAAAACGTCACAACTAGTTTGTGCACAACAAGCCAGCCCAGCCAGCCACCAACGAACCAGCCAGCGACAATGAACGAATCAACGAGTAGTTTGTTTTTTTTTTCTTTCATTTTTTCATTCGCTTGCATTTGCAGTCGTTTGAGTGCATATGCTTGTTTGTGTTCTATTTTGACTGCAGCGAAAATGCACACGAGTGCAATAAACGTCATCAAGGTTAGCCAGCCGCTACTTGAGAGCTCAAGCTGCGATGCACGGCGATGAATTGCAAATTCTGCTACTGCGATCGCTGCAGTGAACTGCTAAGCTGCTGCTGCTGCGAAGACGACGTCGACAGGTGCTGCATTATATTTACATACCATCTTTTTATGCGATTATCTATTACTTGGTGTTTGCAATTTGCTTATGTTTTAATTTTTTATTGTTTTATTATTAAACTGCGTTGCAATGAAGCGGGAACCTACAAATGTACAACTAAATATGTATATACATTTATCGATTTGTCGCAAAAAAAATGCATGAAACGAATCATTATTGCGGCATTAATGCGCAAAAGAGCTCAAAATACTACGTAGGAGATAAGGTGCTGGGAATGATGCAATGTCAAAACGAATTTATTAATACAACGATTTTAATTTAATACCTACTTATTGCACAAGTTCATATGTGTATTTGAAGACACAAACATACAAATGCGGATATATGCATATTAATGTAGTATGTATGTACATAAGTATTTACATTGAATATGCGGTGGCGCATCGATCCGATTTCGTCACTCTTCTTAAAATGTCAAAAGACAACAAAGCTGAGTCATTTCTATAATTGCGCCTTTACGTCTACTAGTTGTCTTCTCGTAAAATTTCTTGCCAAAATATGTATTTCATTAGTTGGCAATTCCGGTTGGGTTTGGCAAAAACTCTGGTTTCGTAGGTGTGTTTGTATGTGCATACATATGCATAGATAGGTGTGCGAAATCAGCTGTTTTTATCGCGAAATTGCCAGCTAACCAAGAAAAAATCATACGATATGAAAGACAAAGAAGCGAATATACCGAATGGAAATGAAAAATAAAATAAAAATTAAATATTAGGTTTGTATAGTAACCAATAGTCAGTACTAATTTGTACTGGAACCTGCAAATTTTTACTGGAAAAGTGTATGATAACCCAAAAAATTTGCAGGAGAGCAACAAATCGAGAGCGCAACAACACGGGAGAGCTGCAAATTCTTGCTAGTGAAATTTCTAATAGCAGAAATTAGCTAGCAGAAGAAGAAGAAGAATAAATGTCAAAAGCCGCTATTGTTGAATTGGTTTAGCACAAACAAAAGTAAAATAAGTGAAAATTGAAATATTAATGATGTACTAGACTGTGTAAATGCTTGTGTGAAAAGCAAAGAGTTTAAAACCGATTTATAAATAGTAAAATGTTTACAGCAGAATATCAAAAGGGTGCAACAACTATTCACTTGCAAGTTTTTACTAGTTTTGCGTTCAGTAACTTTTTCTGCTAGTTTTCTCTTCTTGTCAATTTTACGCTCTATTTTGCTTTTACGCTCTGGCTGCAATGTTTTACTGGAGAAGTTACTATACAAACCTATTGTCAATTGCAGCCCGCAACTATCCCAATTTTCAGAGTGAGCAAAAAATAAGTACACATGTATGTACATACATATGTATGTGATTGGAAGAAAGTATGTTGTGCTTGTACACGACCAACGCAACGTGGTGACACTTTTCTTCGCCTACTGGATTTTTCCACATACTCGCACAGCGAATTTGCAAATTGTTTGTGCCAATTCAGACGAACGTTTGTGCATTAGCAATAAAATATACGAAGTAGAGTGTGAAAAATCATTTGAACCGCGCAAAGAACCAAAATAAAAAACTAGGAATAATTAACAGATTGCAAAAGATTTAGCTGTTTGCAAATATGTATGTACATACTTTATTCATACCAACCATTTTCTTTGATCTCTACATAAAATATGAGTACCAGGTTGACCGAGCTTTGCTTTTTAAAGTTTTCAAGGTTTGAGTATCAAATACTGGTGATTTGGTTAGCTTTAAAATACATAAAATTAAAAAAATTTGGATTTTGTAATCTATAAAGCAAATTTTTTACTTATAATTTAGGTGGCAACCCTATTTAGAAATGCGCTGGAATGTATAGCACATATCTTGAGGGTATACATATGTACTGTGTCTACATACAAAAAATAATGCTGATTGAAATTAAAAGGCCTTTCATTTAATATCCATATTGCGATGCTTTAGATTTGTACAAAAATTAAAAAAAAAACTNTAGCAGAAATTAGCTAGCAGAAGAAGAAGAAGAATAAATGTCAAAAGCCGCTATTGTTGAATTGGTTTAGCACAAACAAAAGTAAAATAAGTGAAAATTGAAATATTAATGATGTACTAGACTGTGTAAATGCTTGTGTGAAAAGCAAAGAGTTTAAAACCGATTTATAAATAGTAAAATGTTTACAGCAGAATATCAAAAGGGTGCAACAACTATTCACTTGCAAGTTTTTACTAGTTTTGCGTTCAGTAACTTTTTCTGCTAGTTTTCTCTTCTTGTCAATTTTACGCTCTATTTTGCTTTTACGCTCTGGCTGCAATGTTTTACTGGAGAAGTTACTATACAAACCTATTGTCAATTGCAGCCCGCAACTATCCCAATTTTCAGAGTGAGCAAAAAATAAGTACACATGTATGTACATACATATGTATGTGATTGGAAGAAAGTATGTTGTGCTTGTACACGACCAACGCAACGTGGTGACACTTTTCTTCGCCTACTGGATTTTTCCACATACTCGCACAGCGAATTTGCAAATTGTTTGTGCCAATTCAGACGAACGTTTGTGCATTAGCAATAAAATATACGAAGTAGAGTGTGAAAAATCATTTGAACCGCGCAAAGAACCAAAATAAAAAACTAGGAATAATTAACAGATTGCAAAAGATTTAGCTGTTTGCAAATATGTATGTACATACTTTATTCATACCAACCATTTTCTTTGATCTCTACATAAAATATGAGTACCAGGTTGACCGAGCTTTGCTTTTTAAAGTTTTCAAGGTTTGAGTATCAAATACTGGTGATTTGGTTAGCTTTAAAATACATAAAATTAAAAAAATTTGGATTTTGTAATCTATAAAGCAAATTTTTTACTTAAAATTTAGGTGGCAACCCTATTTAGAAATGCGCTGGAATGTATAGCACATATCTTGAGGGTCTACATACAAAAGACCTTTCATTTAATATCCATATTGCGATGCTTTAGATTTGTACAAAAATTAAAAAAAAAATCTGCAAGCTTTCACCTAAATGGCAAACTTTTTAAGTAGACTCTAAAAAAAATTTAATTTTAGTATAATAAAGTGCAAGATTGAAGATGCTAAAAATTGCGTGGAGTTTTGACAATTTTTATCCTTGATTGTGTAAAGACCTTCCATCCATATTAGAATATTTTTCGAACATATTTTAAGAGATTTCTGCAACCTTGCCGAGTGCTGCCAGATTTTTTTTCACATCACGAAGTAGCGAGCAAATGTGGCACGTTCCTGCTAATTGGGTTTTGCCGATTTTGTCAATTCTCAAGTAAAAGCAAACAATTCCTTAGAAACCTTAGATGCACTTAAATTTGCTAAGACTTTCACAAAAATCGCCGTTTTTTTAACATTTTCGCTATTAGCTTTTGCTATAGATCATATATTTTGCAATTTAACACAATGAAACCGCGAATCCTGTCGAAAAATTGTATTACATACATATATTATTCTTGTTACCATATAGTGTTTAGTGTTGGACAATTTTTTCTTTTAAAATTAAGAAAATTATGTCAAGCAAAAATAAAACTACGCAAAAAGCGATTATGTGGTAGATTTGAGGCCCGAAGACCTCAAAGAAGTGGCAGACCTAACACAATGTGGTAGAAGTCCGATCACTGTTTAGGGGATTTTTAAAATACCTTAAATTTGATACCCAAAATATGATGTTTTACTTAATTTGTAATTAATTTCGAATAGGTGGCAAGCTTTTACGAGTCTTCTTGGAGTTAATACCTATTTAAATAACCTTAAAGTGCAAGGCATTATCTATATACAAAATTTAATCAACAACCTACATACATATAAACTATTTAAAATCGTTTCAAGTAGGTATTTAAATTAAAAACGTGGTTGAGCTAATTAGAACAAATATTAATGTGGATTTTAAAAGTGCATGTAAAAAACCATTCATATGTATGTATGCAAGTACAATACACGTGTATTAATAAGTCTCAAAATGTTTGCATATTTGTAACTAATACGCTATGATGACACATGGTTGTCAGTTCCAGTTTAATTAGCATGACAAATATGTTAGTTCTGGTGAAAATTTTCCATTTAACGCTCGTGTGACGTAAAGAATGCAGTAAAAATGAGTCCAGAAGTACATATTCCACCAGAATATTTTATTTTGACTGCACTAAGCACAATCTCAGGAAGTAAATATTTGCTCCACTCCGCATTATTATAGTAAATACCAACTCTCATTACCCACCCACCCACTTTCTGCTTGAATCCAAGAGATCCTGGTTTAGAATTTCAGCAGTTTATTTTAAAAGAACCCAAAAAAATAATAATTAATTTTTTTTTTCCAAAATCAATATCATTTTAAATAAAAGCTTGTTCTGTATCGCAACTCACGAATCTTAACGAAGCAGAATATGCACTACATAAAATCAAGTTACATATGTATGTACTTAAATGGCAGCTGCCTTTCGTCGAAAACTGCATATTGGCACCAATTAGCGTATTAAATCTACATACGTACAGATACAAACGTACACGCATGTACGTATGAATGCTCCATAGCGCCCTAGCTGAGCCTCGAACTAGAAACTACACATTTAAACATGGTTTATTGAACTCACCTGATTGACTGCTACTATTATCGGTGTCCGTGGAGAAAGTGCCGCCACCGCCCACGCCACTGTCGCTGCCACTAACAGCTGAGCCATTAATGTTGGCGTTATTGTTGGTGCTAGTTATTGCATTAGTAGCAGCTCCGGCGACAGTAGCAGCTGGGGTATTGCTGCTGCTGCCGTTCTCCTCTTCCTCCAATATGCGTTCAACCATTTTTTCGCTCCTCCCGATTAGCTCGTTTGCGGTTTTCGATGTGTTTCTTTTTATAATTTATCAAATGTGGTTATAGGTTTTCGCGTTTATCAATTGACGAGTTTTTAGGTAGGTATGTATATTGTATTTGTAAAGTGGTTATGTTATGCGGGCGAATGAACTGTAGTATTTTACTATTGCAGTTGAATTGAATAGAATTTGGAATACGTTATGAAATGTTAGGTTTCTAATGTGTACTACCGGCTTGGCGGTTAACGTACAAACAATAACGTAAGTATACACACGACTGTGTTGGGACACACACTACACAGAATCTTCGAGAACTTTAAGGAATAGTTGCAGGTAATTTATTTAGAACGGAAATATTTTTGGATCAACTTTTTGCACTGCCGGAACTTTTCTTGTTAGGGTTGCTGTATTTTAGTAACACCTTGTTCTTTATTTGCCGTTGTTGTTGGCAGCAAAATAGTCCCAAAACAAGCCCGTACAAAACCCAAACGAAAACACAACTGCACGAATCGTTCCTTATCGCACAAGTCTTTACACTGTTGCTTACCCAATTGCTCGCCGTCTTTACAGGAAACTGTGGCTGTTTTCCTATCCACTTCGGCTCGCTCCGACTTGTTGGCTGCAACACCAGTTTCCGTCTGGTCTAGCTGTATCGTCTGTCTGCGTTGTTAGCTGCCTTTATGTTTATTTTGCTTTTTCCGTATTCTACTGCTTCACCTTCCCCTCTCAATTTTCTTCGTCTTTCCAATTACTGTGCGCCGTATGCCAGTCGATCTTCTCTAGCTACTTCTACTTCCTCTTTGCCTGCTTCGTTTGCTATTGGCTTCGGGTATTCGTTGAATTTTAGCTGCGTTGTTTCTGGTTTAGCTGCGCTGCAGCTGTTGGTGCTACTGATGCGTTGCTGTTCGTTCAAAATGGTGGATGGAGTCATCTAGATACAAAATGCTCCTGAAGTGCTGGCTTTCTCCAGCAGATAGCGACTTGCAAATTGAATATGTATTTTCACTTTAAATACTGCACAAGGAATTGGTATCAGAAATATGTATGCAGATATGCAAGTATTAAAAAATGTCAAAATTAGAATTTGCAAGTTGGTGTTTTTGGTCTGCAGCTATGCTGGCCTAAAGTAATGGTGTGGTTTGTGCAGATGTTCAGAATATGGATATGTCAGCAAAGTCTGTCGAATGTTTAGTCGAGGTCCAATTTCATTTGAACTTACGACCCGGGTTCTTNGCCTAAAGTAATGGTGTGGTTTGTGCAGATGTTCAGAATATGGATATGTCCGCAAAGTCTGTCGAATGTTTAGTAGAGGTCCAATTTCATTTGAACTTACGACCGGGCTCTGCTATAGCTGAATATGTTTGTAATTTAATTGATTTTTTAATTGTTAGCAGTAGCTAACTTTGGTGCTATTGCTTTTTTTCCCCTGCTGTTGCTAGTTTGTGGTGTATTCAATGATACTGCTGTTCAAGCTGCAAAAATTTTGTTAACTGCTAACAGTCAAAGGATGCAGTAGGAGATGCCTTCCACATTAAAACTGTAAGAATTTAGCAAGGAACCCAAAGATTCTTGCAAATTAAAAATTTCTCTATGGAAAATTTTCACTGCTGTTGCGCTGGCCGCTGCTGCTACCTCTGCCGCGGTCGACGTCACAAATGTTTCGTTCGACTGAGCTGCTAGTGCCTCTGCAGCTGACGCCCCTACTACGCCAATATGATTTTTCTCTGCTGCTCGTCGGTGGTGTTGATTTGAATGCAGTAGCTCTAGCTCCTGCTTCTCTATTTTAAATATGGATAATTTAGCTGAATTGGTTGTTCNCGTCACAAATGTTTCGTTCGACTGAGCTGCTAGTGCCTCTGCAGCTGACGCCCCTACTACGCCAATATGATTTTTCTCTGCTGCTCGTCGGTGGTGTTGATTTGAATGCAGTAGCCCTAGCTCCTGCTTCTCTATTTTAAATATGGATAATTTAGCTGAATTGGTTGTTCCTGCTTCTAATGCTTTAGCTGTATACGCTGTGGCAGTTGATTCTGATTCACAATTCGATTTTTTCATTACAAAATTCTGCTCACGTCTGCGTTGCTGCTGCTGCTTGGATGTACTTTTGTTGTTTTTTTTTTGGTGAATTTGGTGGTAGTGAGTGGATGTAGTTGCAGTGGTAGAAGTCGTCGTTTGGTAAATTCTTGCTTTTAACAAAAAATTCGCTGAAATAGCGGACAAAAGGCCGTTTTCTTTGCGTTTTTCGCTGTTGTTATTCCTTTAGCTATTACCGCTCCATTTTCCACGCAGACTTATCGATGATGAAATTCCGACTGAAAAGCAAAGCTGTATTCGGCGTCGTCACTGGCCGAGCTCGTCGAATGGCCGCCATTTCAGTGTTGCTAACGCTCTTAAAAAGGGATCGAGTTCATTTGTGGGCAAGGCAAAGAAAACAAGAGCAACGCTAAACCTTCAATATGTTCATGTTAAAATTAAATAATCTATATTCAATTCATATTTCTATCATT